AACATCATATGCATCAAGATATTCATTTTGGCCTTATTTTTTTATTAGAAAAAGGTAAATAGTGGGGCCTGGTCAAAATAATTGTTTTAAAAGGATGATATGGAATAATCTTCAAGATATATTGTTAATTTTTTTAAGTTAGGCAAAGAACATTATGCTTGGTATGTTTTCATTTGTTTAAAATGACATGCATAAATGTGTGTATATATACATATGTATGTACATATACACACATATATTCGTATACTGAGAGAGAGAGATGCTTACATACTTACAGAGAATCTCAAGAAGGATACAGAAGAAATGATAACATTGGTTGTCTTTGGATAGGCTGATTGACTGCAGACAGGGATAGGAGAGAAACTGACTTTCACAATATATCCCTTACACCTAAATTTTAAACTCTGAGCATATATTATCTGTTTCTAATAGTATTATTATTAACAATTTTGTAATAACATAATTTACATTTAAACAAAAAGTAAAATGCACTTTAAGTTAGAACAGAGTGCTAAGAATAAATATCCCCCAGTGAACATGGTTGTAAAGCCCGAAGGCCATACACTGAGAAAATCATAGATGCTTTTGTTGTACTTCTTTATTTCTCTGGTTTGCAGAGACTCAGGTGCTTGTCATGGTGCTAACTGGCTATAAGCTATGCTCAGAAGTCATGATACCTGTGTTTCAATGCTTGTCTCAACCTGTTTGGTTTCAGTGCCTTTGAATATGATAAACTTTGTATACAAAGGCTAAACATTTTAAATATGTTATCTCTAAAGGTTTAACCGTTGGGGTAGAGATAAGAATGGCAAGAGGTCTTTCTTCAGAGAGAAAAACTAAAGTTTACTAACGAAATGTGGTTAATTGTGGTTGGTGTTACTCATTGCCCCATACTACTTTGAATAGTCCAGAAGGAGATAGACTTGAATATCAGAAAGAATAGCCATACTTTGTTATTTTAGATGTCAGCTATTAAATTAGTTTCAAAATATATTTAGTTTTGAAAATTGATCTGGGATGGGTTTGTTTCTACCATATCTAAGTGAGGGGGTGAGAGTCTTCTTAAAGGCTTGTAAGGTCATATACTGGACTTAGAGATGAGTGTATAAGTTGGCAGTAGTTACATGCATCAGTTATATGCATTAACTGCTATCAGTGCTAACTACTGCCAAGGCATTAAGAATCATCAAGTCTCCAAGCACATAGGAAGGTAATTTTCTCTAGGAAGCACCTTCAGTTTATTGTTTGTTTTGTTTTGTGTGTTAGTGTACATGTGTGTATTGAGAGGAAAAGGATCAATTTAAAAAAAGAAGAAAGATTTCTTTTAGCTCTGAAAATTCTCCCTATTTCTGAAATTGAGAGCCTGGCTAAAAACAGCTATGGCCAACTCGAAACTCCTTTGACCCCCTCATCTTGCCCGTTGCTTATCACCTCCTACCTCCTCAAAACCAACTAGATGAGAGTAGATAGTGGAAAATAGTACCATTTGTATAAAAAAGATTTTGACATAGCATTTTCTGTGTACTTAAGACAGTGCACAGAAGTGTACATAGGTCAATGAATTCTCACAAAGTGAACAGACTCATGTAACCACCATCCTGATCAAGAAACAGGATGTTAGTATCGCATTTTGTCTTGTATCTTCTTTCCTTACCCTCAGCTTTCACCCAGCCTGAGCCTTAGTGTTCACACAATATATATTATATACAACAACTGAATTGCATTCACTTTATCTGTATTGAATTTTTTTATATTGTATACCAATTTCTTAAGCGGTTCTAAGCCAACTCTTTCCAGCCATCCTTAAATATCTCAAACCAATGTGAATATTAAAAAATAGAGGGTCACATTATATGACCAAAAAATAAGAACCTACTTTTACTAGATAAGAAAGCACTATATATGGTCTTTTAAAAAGTGAAACATGTACATAATTTAAATAAATCTAAAAAGGCATACAGTGAAAAGTAAATTTCAACCCCTCCCCAGAAATACTAGTGTTACTCTTCCAGAGATAGTCTATAATATATAAATGCAATTTAAATGTTTACATTTTTTCCAATTTGAACCTAAATAATAGCACGTTGTGTATTGTAATACACCATGCTTTTTAAAAAAATTTATTTATTATTTATTTATTTTTTTGGCTGTGTTGGGTCTTCATTGCTGCGTGCGAGCTTTCTCTAGTTGTGGCAAGCGGGGGCTACTCTTCATTCCGGTGCACAGGCTTCTCATTGCAGTGGCTTCTCTTGTTGCAGAGCACAGGCTCTAGGCGTGCAGGCTTCAGTAGTTGTGGCACGTGGGCTCAGTAGCTGTGGCTCGCGGGCTCTAGAGCGCAGGCTCAGTAGTTGTGGCGCACGGGCTTAGTTGCTCCACGGCATGTGGGATCTTCCCGGACCAGGGCTCGAACTCATGTCCCCTGCATTGGCAGGTGGATTCTTAATCACTGCGCCATCAGGGAAGTCCATACACCATGCTTTTTAAAAATTATAATGTAAGTAGCCCTTTTAAATGTGTTAGCCCATCCCATGACCTCCTTCCATGCTAGTAGCCATGTTTGCACCTCTTGACCCTTTGGCCAGGGCTGAACAGAACGCTGGTGTTGTATGCCAGTCATTGTCCTTTGCGATGCGATCCATTTCATGATCTTTCTTTTCTCTGCTCTGTATCACAGGTGGGCCAAACCCTACAAACTACATATCCCAGGCTCCCAGCTGGGTTCATCCAGTGGGAGGCACTTGTGAGAGACTGGAAGGTAGAAGGAATAAACAAGCCAGGGTGTTTCTTCCCTTCTGTCTGCTTCGGGCAGCATCTTCACCGGTGTGGATATATCTCTTCTATGGTTCCTGCTCCCACTAGCAGCCCCTCCCTGTATGGTCCTAGTGTCAGCTTGGCAGCTGGCATCCCTCGCTGGTTCTCCATGTTAAGTTCCCTCCTCTGAACTACCTGGCAAGTTAGTCACACAGTGAGGCCACATGGAGAGAGGTGCCCTGCCAGCCCCAGGTGTTGCCATCAACCTTAGTGAGGTGCCAGACTTGTGAGCGAAGAAGCCACCCTGGATGACCATTTTTTAACGATTCTCTGCCCCTTTTACATGACACAATTATTTTTAGTAATAATCGCAAAATGAAATAATAACAACCAGAAAAGAAATGCAAAGAGTGACAAGTTTCTATTAACTTTGAATATATAGTCATGCCAGTAATAAATAAGAAAAATAGAAATAAAATAAATGTTATAGTATGAAAAAGCAAGGGGTTAATATTTTTAAATTATATTAAGTAGTTTTGAAAAAGGAAAATATTTATACCCACAAATTGGTCTATTGTAATAAAGTGGTCTGTTGCCTGTGAATAATAAACCTTTTCTGTTTTTAAGCTTTGCAGTGACTTCACTGAATTTTTTCTTTGCATATTAATATTTACCAGACAGTATAGGCAGATTTATCCAGTTATTTTTGCACAAAGTTGATAGAAGAACATTTTTTAAGCTTTTAATTTCAAAAGTTTCTTTTACCTGTGCAACAGATGTAAAAACAACTAGGAAAGGACTTTAACATAATGACAAGTTTGGCAGAAATTCATAAAAATCTTTCACAACAAACTCCAGGAATTGCAATACTGCCTTTGGTTCTTTGGGAACAATTATAGTGGCTTTCAAACATGTCTATAGTTAAAAAGTGTCCACTAAAATATCTTGATCAGAAAATTCATCATACATTTCTATTACATACAGTAAAAACTTCTAAAGTTTTTCTTCATCTGCTAAAAATCAGAGAAAGTGGCTGAATGGTAACAAACTCTGACGTTATTTGATCTATTGCTTTAGAACAAGTGCCCAATTATTGGTGAAAAAGATGAAGGCATTCAAATACTGCTTTACTGATTTCTTCTAGCAATGTAAGATCAGCATCTTTTGTTGTTTCTCCTGGCATTCTTTAAAATTTGACTTTTTAAAATAAATGACCATTTCTTTAGATTTTGTTTTTGCATTGTCAATTGCCTTCTCCACAAGTTCTGAGTACTGTTCCTTTGATTAGAGTCTGCTATAATAATATTTTATGTAAATAATTTTCCAGTAACTAGTTACTGAAAAGTTACAACTTAGGTAACTGTTAAATTGTGCCACTGATGTAGCATTATATTTTCTCAATTCTTTCATTAGTTTTAACACAATTAACAATTGGGCTACAGAGAGGCAGAGAATGAAAAGCACCTATACCCTATACCAGAACTGGGAGACAGGGTCTGGATAACATTCTTAATAATTAGCAAATGTTTGTTACCAAAAAGATTTCCTTCATTTCTCATGTAAGAGGAGATATCAAAGATAAATGAATGGCATGCTGAAGAGTTCTGATACATGATTACTTTTATAAAACATTTAAATGTAAATTTGGCATGTTTTCAAAACTTACAAGTTAAGAAATTATTTTAAAATCTACTCTAACTATAGAATCTTATTATGCTTCACATTCAGCTTCTTTAATACCTATTTACTGAACTTTTTCTAGGCAGCAAGTGTGTGTGTAGAACAAATGATAAATGACAAACTACCTTTTATGAAAAATTTGATTTATTCTGTCAACTAAACCCAAATAATTTCAAGAGGTACATCAAAGAATAATTTCTAAATGGCTTTTTTTCCTTGCTCTACACAATGTTAAGGGCAATCCTGTCAGCTCTTAAAGCTCTTGTTTGACCTGCTTTGTCAAATGTTTGTGAAATGATATTCAGAATGGCACAATGTGATGTCAACTTGCATTAATTCTTTCCCAAAGAGAGGTGTTCAGTATTCAGACTGTGTTTGTACTGGCACAATTTATGTTTCGGCTTCATCTCAGAAGGTTTACAAGTACCGTTTCCTTTGGAAGACTGTCCTCTTTTGCAATTTCTCTTCTAAAACAACCTTTGAAAGGACAATAATGACATCCCATAAAACTGCTTTCAGGGAAGACATTAAGAAAGTAAATATTTCAAGGAATTGAATAAAAATGTTACATATACCAATATTAAATTTTACTATTTTCTTCCTAGATATATTATGAAAAATTAAAATGATCCCTTATTCAACTAGTATTTTTCAATGAAGTAAATCCATCAACAATACTGCTTTTGTCTTTATGTAAAACATAATTTGTAAAAAAAACAAAAAACAAAACATAATTTGTTTTCAGCTAACAAGAACCACATAAAAGTGTTTCTAAAATTATATAATGTTTTCTACTTCAGTTGTAATAATGATGGTATGTTAGCAAACAATTAAATGTTTTGCCGAGTTTCATAAACAACAATATAGAATAGTAAAAACATTAGCTTCAAATTTCTTCATCTGAAACAACAATGTAAATCACTCATCCATTATTCTATATTGCTTAGGAAACAAGAGAATGGTTTTAAGATTCTGATGATTTTGAAATAAATTTTTGGTTTCCCCTATTCCCCAGCAAATCAGTTATCATTTTCAGTACAATCACACAGCAACCATAATTCAGTTGCCTTCTCAAAGTCTTTTCAAATTTTGTCCTTTCCACCTTTTTTCTGAAGCTTGTTTCTGATTGGTTCCGTCAACACCAAGGGTTCTTGTATGACGGTTGCTGAGTAATTTTTGCCTAATAATTCAACTTCCACTTGTTGTCCCACTTTACTTAGCTCTACAGGGACATACGCGAAAGCCAGACTCTTCTGGATGCTGTAACTGTAGCTTCCGGAGGTCGTGTTGCCAACCACCTGAAAAACAAGACCCTACCATCCTCAGCATCTTGGTCACAGCTTTATGTGCCTCCTCTCTAGATGAAAATTCTCAAAAGATACGTTCAACTTACAGAGTTTTATGATATGCTGTCTGTGAGGATAACACTAGGAGGAAAACTTCACTTTTTTGAGAAGCTTAATGAAAGTTTAAAACTTATGAAAAACAATTCTCAAAATACACATCCATGTTGCTCTGAAATTTCTCAGTTTTAAATAATTACATCTAGTTTCTTAATACCTAGTACTATTTTGCTCAGTTTCATGCCAAGAGATCTGATAGGAAGAAGAATCAAATATTTTCATTTTGAACTTTAAAAAATTCTCTTCCATCAAACTAGCATGGCAATAATAGACACAAAGGAGAAAAATCTAAAAATCCAAATGCAAATCTAGTCAACTGTTCCTGCTGGCATTTAGAAAATGGCCTGCCAGAATAGTGCTGAATTAAACTCTATTAATATATCAATAGTCAATGTGAAGTGAATCTTCTATATGAATATATACAGATTTAACAATTCCTGGTAATTGTTAGGCACTTAAATAAATGTTAACTTTACCCTCTCTAGCTTTACCATGTACAAAACATTTTGCTAGACATTCTGGAGAATGAGTAGAGGTCTGGTTCCTACCCTCATGAGCTTCGTGCCTCGTTGAGGAATTAACATACAGACATGAGAAACAATAACCAGGAAGCCAAGGTAGGCAACATAAGTAAGCCAGGATTTGTTCTACAATTTTTGTGTGTGTGTGTGGTATGCTGGCCTCTCACTGTTGTGGCCTCTCCCGTTGCAGAGCACAGGTTACGGACGCACAGGCTCAGCGGCCATGGCTCACGGGCCGAGCTGCTCCGTGGCATGTGGGATCTTCCCGGACCGGGGCACAAACCCGTGTCCCCTGCATTGGCAGGCGGACTCTCAACTACTGCGCCACCAGGGAAGCCCTGTTCTACATTTTGAAGGTAGGTGGAGTTAGGTGGGTAGAGAAGGGGGATAAAACTTTCCAACATGAGTGGAGACATGGAGTTCTGTGTGAATGATCAAAATTAACAAGGATGAAATAGGATAACTTGGGATGGCAAACCAGAGAAAAATACTGAACAAGAATCAAAATTTAGGAGATGAAAACAATAATTTTATGCTACCAAAAATAAAATCTATATAACAATCCTGATTAGAAGATTAGATCTGGTTTCCACAACTCTTAGCTGAAGGAAAAGATGCAAGAAAAGGAAAAACAGAGTAAAATGCAAACAAATTACAATACTGGTTTAAACACCACTTTTTTTTCTAACATCTTTATTGGAGTGTAATTGCTTTACAATGGTGTTTTAGTTTCTGCTTTATAACAAAGTGAATCAGCTATACATATACATATATCCCCATGTCTCCTCCCTCTTGCGTCTCTCTCCCACCCTCACTATCCCACACCTCTAGGTGGTCACAAAGCAACAAGCTGATCTCCCTGTGCTATGCAGCTACTTCCCACTAGCTAGCTATTTTACATTTGGTAGTTTATATACGTCCATGCCACTCTCTCACTTTGTCCCAGCTTACACTTCCCCCTCCCCGTGTCCTCAAGTCCATTCTCTACGTCTGCATTTTTATTCCTATCCTGCCCCTACGTTCTTCAGAACCTTTTTTTTTTTTTTAGATTCCATATGTATGTGTTAGCCTATGGTATTTACTTTTCTCTTTCTGACTTAGTTTACTCAGTATGGCAGACTCTAGGTCCATCCACCTCACTACAAATAACTCAATTTTGTTTCTTTTTATGACTGAATAATATTCCATTGTATATGTGTAAACACCACATTTTTAAAAAGTAAAAGGAAGACAACAAAAGCAAAATGATACATAGCCCCACTTAAAACGGCTTCTCCTGGCTACGCAACATCGCACTCATCCTTACAGCCTTACTGTCCAGCACAGAGGCTGCTTATAGCTGCTGCTCAAAAACATCCATGGACATGAATCAGCCTGGTGATATGTCAGCTGCCTCAGCAAAGGGCTCACGACAGTCAAAGTCATATTATAGCATTTCTAGTCTCTTATGCATTTATGACATTAAGTACAGACTCCTATCACTGTAGCCCCAGTTTTTAATTATCTTGTTGAAACCCCAAATCACAAGCTCTCCATATAATTTCTGAACTTGTTATGGTGATTTAAAAAAGTGAATGCCTTCATTAGTAAAAGTTTCTCTCTGGCAGATTATTAACTGCCAAGGTATTGCTGAGATAACACACATGTTTCAAAATGGCTTTTCTCCTCTAGATCATATTTCTGTGATATAAAACTGGGATTTGGGTCAGGGTGGCTGGAGTTTTAATCGTCGCTTTTTTGAAAGACCTTCTCAGTAACTTTGGTTTCACTTCTGAGTCTCTAAAACAGAGATTTGTGTTTGGAGCTCTTGGAAAGTTAACCTGGGTTTCTTGGGCATCTTAAGAAAACAGGAAGAATCCTGAACGAATCTCTTGGTCAAATCCCCTAACTCACTGGATAAAAAACCCACAATCACTCTTCAGAGGCTGCGTGTCCCATCTCCTTGGGCCTTCCCATCTCTTAAAATCTCAGCAGTGATTCTTCTTGCAGTTATTTCTGCATTAGTAACTTTAAAGAAATAGCATGTTTATTTTGTGCGTGCTAGTCTTAAAATAGTTATTGAATGCTTTGCTTTCTGCTCGATTACTTTCATTTCTCCTTTAATTTCTCTCTAATCCAGGGGTTGGTGGTCCAAAGTATTTTAGAAAACTGGCCTTTCCTTTTATCTTATTACTAAGTCTCCAGGGAAAGGTTTTCCCTGGCATAAATTCTATATCATTTGACCTTAAAATCTTCCAGATTCAATGAAATCCATGGCTTTGTTTTGCTCAGTGAATCACAAGAACCACCCTCGCCCTTTGCCTAGTAGATTCTCATATTCTTTGTGAAATCAAACATCAGCCCTCTTTTCACCAATGTAAGCAATCCTCACTTATTTTTAGCCTTGTCTCATTCTTCTCTTCATTATGAGACTTAAAGACGCCTGTAACAGACTCAGAGAAGAGAACATGGTAAATAACCTTTGAAAGAGGAACATAATTTAAATTGGATGATATATTATGCTTCTTTGGCTGTCCCTGTGTGTTTTAGTTTATTAATAATGAAAAAGAAGACTTTCTAAACTCTTCAAACTTCCTTCCTCAAAAGTCTTTTCTTCAAAACTTACTTCCCAGCAAAGCTGCTTTTATAACTAATTAAAACCCCTCCCATGCCCACACTTATGCCTTGATTTTTTTATATAAAGCCTTACTTAAAATCATAATCCCTCCCTCTAGCACTGCCCATCTCCCAATTAGACTTTATTTTTCCCCAAAGTATTCACTGCCCTCTGACATGCTATTTATTTTATTTTATGTTCACTGTTTATCTCTCCCTCTCCTGGAATATAAGTTCCATAGGGGCAGAGATTCTTGTCTGTTTTGTTCACTGCTGCATCCTTAGTGCCTAGAATATTGCTGTCACATACTAGAACTCAGATCTGTTGAACAAATAAATTAACATGTACCCTATCGCTAGCATTGAAAATATCTGCATGAATAGAATACCAAATATAAAAGGTAGAACAAGTCCAAATTCAGGAAATAAAAATTAAAAAATATTTCATATCATTCTAGAGATAAGGAAGATCAGAGAGTGTCATCTGCATGATAAAATGAGGATCCTACTAAGCATCAAAGAACAGACAAGCTGATATCAGGAAATTTAAGAGAAATATTACTAATAACTAAAATTACAATTGCATTAGCAGCTCTATAAACAGGTGGCACGTATAGGAAAGATGAAAAATATAACGTGTAAATGCAGTGCACAAATGAGGCAAAGGGAATAAAATTTAAAAATGGAACTTGGAGGGGATATATGTATACATATAGCTGATTCACTTCATTGTATAGCAGAAACTAACACAACATTGTAAAGCAATTATACTTCAATAAAAATAAATGGAGCTTGGGTTTCCAGGGTTCTTCTTTTTTTCCAGCTTTGTTGAGATACAATTGACATATAACATTGTATAAGTTTAAGGTACAGGTTTCCAGTTTTTTAACTTGGGTATGGTCACATTTAAGATGACTAAAAATCTGTCAGTTGATCATGGTCGATGTGGGGTTGCATACAGAATGTTATGACAGAGCTTCTCGTTCATTCCATGGCCAAGTAAAACAGACTATCAGTAGAAGTATGAGTGCAACCGTATTAGGAAGACTGAGATAGTTGGATGAGAATAGAGTGAAAAATGTAGAACAAAAAGATGAGGTGAGGGAAGTGTAACGACCAGGGAAAAATTAATTAGAGGCAGAAAGAATCTTAGACATTATCTCACTCAGTGGCTTCATTTTGTAGGTGAGAACACTGAGACCCAGAGAGGCTCAAGCAGTTACTTAATGGCAGACGTGGTTATCGGTGGAAATTGTGGGCAAATCTTAAATCAGAGAAAGAACATATTAAGAAAAGAGCGCTGGGGCTTCCCTGGTGGCGCAGTGGTTGAGAGTCCGCCTGCCGATGCAGGGGACACGGGTTCGTGCCCCGGTCCGGGAAGATCCCATGTGCCGCGGAGCGGCTAGGCCCGTGAGCCATAGCCGCTGAGGCTGCACGTCCGGAGCCTGTGCTCCGCAATGGGAGAGGCCACAACAGTGAGAGGCCCACGTACCGCAAAAAAAAAAAAAAAAAAAGAGGGTTGAACCAGAGATCTAGAACAGAAACAGAAAGTGGAGACCGGGAGGTAAGAGTAGGAATGGTTCAAACAGAAGAGCAAACAACACAATTAAAGGTGAGGCATTTGAGAAAGAGCTTCAGATCTGAGAAAAGATCTATTGGCTTCATAGAATCTAAAACTATAACATCCACCTGTTACTTAGATGTGCAAGAACTGTGGGTATATAATGAAGTGCTTAGGAGAATACAGTGGGCCATCAGAGACAAAGAAGAGAGCAAATGGGGGTATTCAGCATGTCTTAGAAGAAAGGATAAGAATTCAAAGTCCAACGGTACCTCGGTCAGAAATCAGCTTCGTCAATCACATGTCATAGTGTAACCTCAAGCAAGTTACTTAATCTCTCTGAGCCCCAAAGCCTCATCTTTAAATGGGAATGATCATACATATCTTGGAGGGGTGTTGTAAAAGTAAATGAGAGAGGGACTTCCCTGGTGGTCCAGTGGTAAAGAATCTGCCTTCCAATGCAGGGGACGTGGGTTCAATCCCTGTTCAGGGAACTAAGATGCCACATGCCACGGGGCAACTAAGCCCGTGCACCACAACTACTGAGCTCACGCGCCTCAAGGAGAGAGCCTACGTGCCGCAAACTACAGAGCCCACAGGCCCTGGCACCCACATGCCACAACTACAGAGCACACGTGCCCTGGAGCCTGCGCACCACACTAGAAAGAAGCCTGAGCGTCGCAATGAAAGATCCCGCGTGCCACAACAAAGAGCCCGCATGTCGCAGCTAAGACCCAATGCAAACAAAAAAATAAATTAAATAAATATTTTTAAAAAAGTAAATGAGAGTACATAAAAATATCCAGCACTAGTAGGAACTCTGTAGATGTTATTTCCATGTCAAACTGACCCCTGCCTCAGCCCAAATGGCCATATCTTTAGTAATCCAAAGGCTGAGATTGACACCACTGGCTCTCCCCTCCTCCAGTGCTCGTTTTGTCACTGAAGAGATGGGGAAAATGAAAACAAGTATTAAGTAGGCTGTAGTGCGTAAGGAAAAAAAAAAACAACCTAGGAATAGAATATCTGAGTATTTGGGTGTTGACCAAGCAGACCCTGCTCAATACAGAGCAAATGTTTAGATGAGTCTTGAAGGCCCTGTGGTCGCCACATGGTCTAATCTAAGCTGAGTGTCCCTGCCTGATAACCCCTGCCTGATAACACCAGCCAAAACACAGCAAAACGTTGAGCCAAACTGGGTTTTACAAATAGTCATAAAAAGAGGAGGAAGTGAAATTCTATTGATAGGTTATCTAACTCTGGCTTTACTGAAGACCAAGAGAGAGAGTGAAATGTAGCATCCCAAAAGGAGAAGGTAGTCTTACTCCTCCTGAAGAACCAAAGTATTTCCACTTTTCCCTTTATTTACTAAGGTTTAACCCTCTCTTGTCATAGATGTTTTCATTTGGAAATTGTTTTCTGCTACTGTGCTAAGGTACGAATTGTTTCCTCCTGAAAGATCCCTGAGAAGCTAAGTCAGAATACTACATTCTTTATAAAATCTCTCTCTTGCATTCACAGATACAGATGTGGTGAGCCAAGAGGTCATTTTACCTTCTAAATCATACCTTCCTCATTGTCCCATGTATTTCAAGTCCTGCAGTTTATTTTCTTTCATTAAACCATATAGAATATCATGTTTTCCAAAATGAGCAGCATTTCATTTTCCTTTCAGTTAAGTAATTTCTGTTTCTTGAATGTCACTTCAGAATTCAAAAGAGTGTCATCTCACCAATAGATAAATAACTAGCAAAAAACTGTAAACGGAAACAGAGACAAGGAGTTTCTGCTGCAGAAACACTGCAGTGGCCCCTCGCTATGGGTCCTCAGCACTCACCTTGCCACCATACCAGATGCTTTCATTTCCCTCCGGATCAACATCGTCCGTTGCCAAGGTGAGGCAGACCAGTCTCCGTTTCAGCCCCTTGGCTTTAATCTGTTTCAGTGCTTGCTTTCCTATGAAGTCTGCTGGCTGCAGGAATCCAAGATAATGATGATGAATGAATACTCAGACACTGTGACAAGGTTAGAGATGCAAGCATTTAAATTTGTCTTTGCTATTTTCTTGCCAATTACACATTAAATAAAAATACAGATTGGATCAAACGTCTAGACAAATATTTCTTAGTCCCTGAATGACACCTATTCTTTCAGAAAAGGTTAGACTTAAGGGTAATAACTTGTGATAACAATTTTACCAGAACTACCTAGGCAGAAAAATGTAAGGCATGATATTGAGATGGTGGGTTATGAAAGAGACCCTTGTATCTACTGGTTCTGGACAGTGGGAATGGTGGGCAGTGAGCATGGCACGACTCAGTTTCTACCTAAAGTAAGCCTTCCCTAAGAAGGAAATTCACTTTTTTGAAATGTGATGCCAAAGCAACTCCAAAATGCCTACATTTTTTCCTTCTTCAGAATAATGGTCCCCGGGATGCATTAACCTACTGGGTTGCACCGTTAATTCATTCAAGAAATTTATTGAGCCCCTACTGTGTGGGAGGCATCATGCTAGGCCCTGGGTTACAAAATTAGTCAAACACAGACATTTTGATCAAAGAGCTTATTCTGTAATGCTGTGCTTTTCAACCTTTTTTTTCCTTTTGGGGAAAACAAAACAACAAACACAGGAAGAGCTTGATTCATTTGAGTTCTTATGTAGGATAAATTCATGATAACACAAGTCATAACAAACCAAAGTTCATTACAGTTAAAATATGTTTATCTAAATACAGAAAGAATGCTACAACAAAATTATTTTGCTATCTTAGTATATATTTTTTTCTTTTTTTTTTTTTCGGTACGTGGGCCTCTCACTGTTGTGGCCTCACCCGTTGCGGAGCACAGGCTCCGGACACGCAGGCTCAGCGGCTATGGCTCCACGGCATGTGGGATCTTCCCGGACCGGGGCACGAACCCATGTCCCCTGCATCGGCAGGTGGACTCTCAACCACTGCGCCACCAGGGAAGCCCCTCTTGGTAGATTTTTAAAAGAAGACTTGCTATCATGGATACATGGTGACAGGTATGCTTTTTAGTGTTCTTATCTATATAGGAAGCCAATGATTGCAACGAAAAAAAAAAAAAAAAACACTTTATTGTGTGGAAAAGCACACAATCCTGGAGTGGCCAAGCACTATATAGTGTGTCTTGTGGAATGCTGGGAGATCCTGAATAGCTTCCTCAGCTCCTATTATGAAATCTGAATCTTTGCTGATATGCATTTAGATCTTGAAGGTTTGGGGTCCTCCTGAGTCCCTATTAAAGAATTTTCTTTCAATTATTTACGCAGCTGTTGTTATGCCCCTGCTATGTATCAGATACTAGATACAGGATATTCAGAGCTAAATACAACAGGGTCTTGTAGCCTCTGAGAGGTCCCTGGGGAGATGTGACCCCTTCCTTCCACATCACAATATGCCCAGCGCTGAAATTATTTTATCTCCTCAATGTTTTAACATATCAGAGGAAAAAAGAATGATTTGAGATTACTGGAAACATGGTAGAATATGACAGCGATAGTATACAAATCAGCTATACCAATTTGAAACATGATTCACTGTTGCTTCTGTGTGTTTTATGAGAGTGTGAAAATCACAACATTTTGGAAATTTAAAACAAAAACTGTCTAATGCATGTCTAAGGCAGAAATGCAAACAAACAGTTGCTATGATAGGGGCACGTACAGTGGGAGCTCAAGAAGGCGTATGATCCGTTCTATCTAGGGTGAGAGGGGGGCTGGAGCAGCATTCTGTCAGCAACAGTTTTATGGAGGAAGCAGCTGAACTGAGTTTGAAAGAGGAGGCTTCATGATAACTACTGTCTGCATACCCTTCTCCAAAAGTCCTTGCGCTTTTAAGTCAATCTTCCCAACAATCCACAGATGGTGGATTTGGGGTCGAAAAGAAGTGAGTTAATTTAGCCAGACACTCAACCAAGATCTCAGAAGTCCCAGCCCCATTCTTTTCATCTATTTTGAGCTGCCTTCACTGAGCCTCTTAAGCCAACATCTGCCACACCTTCAGAGGGACTGTGGTGAAAGCTGCCGCATCCAAAGCTTTCAGAAATGGGGACTCTGGGGGGCGCTGGACGAGAACTGCTGGGGTGGATGCCATGGGGGTGGGGGGAATAAGAAGTGCTGCAAGGGGAGTCTAACTCTGCCAAATTCATAATTTTACCAAAGTCTAAGCAGGAACATAAGGTACCAGTTAATCATAAGAAATAGGAAAGATGGGCACCCCAGAAAACTTCCTTTAAAAGAGAAAAGTTATAGTAAATATTTTAAAAAATAATTTAATTCATTATTAATTTAATTAAGTTACTAATTTAATTCAAAAATTAAAGTAGTAAATAAGTAATATTAATAATATTTACAATTTATTAGGCACTTGCTATGTGCCAGACGCTCTGCTGAGGGCTTTACAATCCTCATTAAGATTCCTATAAGACAGATCAGTTTATCCCCAGCTTATGAAGAGAAGGCCCAGCAAAGTTAAGGGTCTTTCCTGAGGCTCGGTTATGTAAGTCAGCACCTATAGATTTTATCCATACGCATTTTTTAAATGGCTGTGCCTGGAGTCTATCACTGGCAGGAACAGCTGATGTAAATACTCTAAAGAATGTTTCTTTTAAATTATTTTGAAACACAAATATATGATATAACTTATATGTGGAATCTAAAAAAAATGATACAAATGAACTTATTTACAAGACAGAAACAGACTCACAGACATAGAAAACGAATTTATGGTTACCAAAGGGGAAGGGGGGAGGGAGGGATAAATTAGGAATTTCGGAGTAACATAGACACGCTACTATATATAAAATAGATAAACAACAAGGACCTACTGTATAGCACAGGGAACTCTGCTTAGTATTCTGTAATAACCTATGTGAGAAAAGAATCTGAAAAAGAATACATATATATGTATAACTGAATCATTTTGCTGTACACCTGAAACTAATACAACACTGTAAATTAACTATGCTTCAATAAAAAATTAATTAATTAAAAATTATTTCTAGGTAGCCTAACCTATCTTGAATGACATTAACTACACAATAATATTTTTGTACTACGTGAAAGGATTTGAAAACACCCTGAAGGTTAATATTAATGAAATTTAACCTCTATATCTGTATATCCCTGAATTAGGAAGTGATCTTGTCAGCAATATCGTCCTTAGACATGAATGAAAACAATACTCAAACAACAACAACAAAAACCTAATTAAAAGTAAGGAACACATACTTAAAACACAGATAAGAGGTGACACCTGCCCCTTGAGACAGTTCTCCCTTCCCAGGCTAACCTTGGGCCTGACTTGGGAAGATTTAAAAGTGGGGTGATAGCATTTCATTCTCATTTTGCTTGGCTTTCCTCCCAAGATTGCAGACTTTATTATACAGTTATTATTTATAAATGAGAGAGGAAAATGTGTCTGAAGGTTAAGTGCTGAGATTAAAATTGGTGCCTTCAGGATGACCTGAGAACAGAAATGTATTTCTTAATGAGTCACTACCAAATTAACTACATAAATAGCTGTTAATGTCTTTGAGAAACACTTCTGGGGCACTGAGATTATACCTTAAAATAATTTTGGCTTATATTTCTAATCTATTAATTTTTAAGAAGCAGTAAGAGCCATTAAAGCAGCCACCTGTGATACATCCTAAATATAACATCCACATAGATGAAAACATTAAGTAGATTTTAAGTGAAATGTAACTCCTCATCTCTTACTAGCTTTATTAAAAGCACACATATTATCGAAAAGCACATGGAAATGAAATAAATTAAACCAGTATACTTTGGGTTGGGATTCTCAGAGCAATGGAGAGCTTTCAGATGTGTAGCTAAGGCGAATTCGACGGCAGCAGTGGAAGGAAGGTTCTGATATGAACTCTGGGTGGTGGGCTCTTACAGACCAGGAGAGAAATGATAAAAACCTAGTTTGGGACCTCTTCTGTTCCATATTTAGAGTCAAAATCCATCAGAAAATTCAAAGCAGTCATCAGTTTGATTGAATTTTTGGCCGAAATCCTTTTAATCTAAATGTCAAAAGTTTCCAAAGGCATAAGAGAATCAGTGTAACATCCTGGGTCCTAAGAAAGCCCCCCTTAGAAACCAGGCACAGCACTGGTTGTGGAATCATGCTCCCGTGTTTGCAGACCTGAAGAGAGCTGCAGAGAGACCCGGTGGTCACCAACCACTGTCAGTGGCAGAGCAGAGATGAAAATCTGGGTGATAGATTTCTGCCGCTGTCCCTCAACACATTCCTGAAAAGTTCCTTATTTAAAATGAGGCCAGGAATCATTCATTAAAAACAGTCCTCACGGGACTCCCTTTGTAAAGCACGTGGCCCTGACTAACCTGCGGTCCATGTGAACCATAACTTTCTCTGGTCGTTTGTCAAATACCAGATGCATCTGTGTTTGTCTCACAGTTAAACTGATGAAGCCATATACTGGATTCGTTCATTTGGGGGAATGGATCTGACCAGCCCACCACCCCATCAAGACAAATTATACCATCATTCATTTCATAGTCACACAGTTAGAATCATAGAAGTTTTTAAGCAGGCAGAAAACTTAGTCCAAGGTCATTTTTCATATGAGAAAATTAAGGCCCAGAGTTAACGTTCTTGCCCAAAGTGACAAAGTGAGTTATTACCAAACCTCAAATCCAGGCTTCCCAATTCTTGCTTCCTTCTCCTCTATGCAGAACTTGGTAACATTCCATGTAAGTTTATAATAACCACAATTTCTCTATCTCTTTATTAGCAAAATATTAAATTATGAGTGTAGCAAGTCCAGTCTATTACTGACTGGAAATGAATACTCTCACATTCACCGTTTTTATTCTCTGCTCTTAGCAATTTAAAACAATTTATTTGGCATTTTTCTAACCAAAACCACTAATCAATTAAGTATTCCTTCTCAAAAAAGTCTTTAATATAACTAGAAAAGGGA